TCATGTGCCAAGAGGACCCCCCCTCCAAACCCGATATTCCTCTTTCACTTTGCCCTACAATTAAACGCTGCAGATTTTCGAAGATGGCGAATCTTAGTTTAAAGATACAATCCAATCACAACATTTCTTAATTATAAATGCTACATCTAACAGCAAGAACAAGAGGAGCTCTCTTGCTTTACTCCATATTTTTTCACGTTTCGGTGGTTTTCGATCGGTGAGGCTTCTTAACCCACGCACGCTGTCGCCTTCAGTTGACACATGACGCCATCGGCGCTGCTGTAGTCATACTCGTCGCTATCATTTTGCCGTCGATTCTTTCTTCAGTCCTTCGACGTCGTTTGGTCGTTGCCAATTGTTAATACAGGGATTGTTACATGCACTAGTACCGCTCTTAAGTTTACCTGTTTACGGCTTTGAGGCACAGACAAGCACACATAGACAGGATTAGATGTACAGATGCAAGGCATTATACAGGTAGTTGAAAGAGGGCAAGGCAAACCCGGGGCCATCGGAAGTCACTGATGCGAGCGCAACCTATATCGAAGCGGCTCACTGTCGGCAGTCGGTGGTGTGGCGTGTGGATTGAGAGGGATGGCATAGAATAAGCAGAAGCGTCAGAGTCCGAGTAGAGCTAATGGGACTTCGCTGCAGTGGAGGTTCGATCGTTGCACCGGGTTGGACGTGTGGGGTAACGTGCAACTTACAGGCGGAATTTCTTTAGAGGAAGGGGGGCTACGCGCTCAAATACGGCGCTGCGATCGAGAATGGCAGAGCTGTTGGCGATGTGGGTTTGATGGAGAACCACCGAGGACGTTGGCCTTGGTATTTCGTAGTGGCCCTGCAAACTCCAGTTGTTCGGTTGATCCACCGACAAACAACCCTCACTTCCGTCGGCCCAAACGGGCTCCGCTTCGCGTACATGATAAATCGGTCTTCCGTGGATGAGTGTTTAATTTCTCAATTCATTTTTCTTTCTTGCAGACTCCATGTGGCCCATCCGTGCGTTTGTTTCAAGCGTGCTGAGTTCTATTTTCTCTCTCTCTGTCTTCTTTGTTCAATCGCTTACAGTCCTTAGCGTCTTTTCAGTCTTGGCTCTTCGTTTCTTCCTTACGTCAGCCTTACGCGAGCCGGGTAAACGTCAAGCCACCCATCACTTGGCTGGCGGCTGGGATCCAAGACTCCGTTATGTCCCCTCCGTGCCACTATACGTGCCCCAAAGTCTCTGGATCTCAGTTTCAATTGAGAGGACAGACCTCATCAGACTTCGCCTTGAGCTAGAAGTGGCTGCGAACCCGAAGCAGCCAGGGTTTTTCTTCTTTCAGGTCCACTTGGCGAAGAAGCGGCGCCTTAGATGGGAGACGAAGTGGTTTGTGGGAAAATTGGGGCGGATGGCGGAGGGCAGCAGGAGTGGCAGCGTGCTTCATGCCGAGAGAAGTAAGAAAATTCCAAACACGCTAAGGGAGAGAGACTGATAGCCTACAGCAAGCGGGAGAGCAATTGGAAGAAAGAAGCGGAACAGCTTGTCGCTCTCTAATGAGGAGCAAATTAATTTCAGCAGTTCCAGTCAGACTCCACTCTTACAGTAGGTTCCATAGCTGGTCGACTACAACAGCAGCAGCAGTAGGAGAATTCCCGAAATCAAGGAGACAAGTATCGTAGATGTCGGGGCTGGGTTACTTAGTTAGGACCGAATCAGCCTATGTTATTCGTTTCATTGGGAGTAATTGCGGTCTGAGAGATAACATATTTGACGTGTGTGGTAATGTTGTTCTTCAAATGTCAAATGAAAATTCAGTTACGACGCGAAGATGTGAGTCAAATACGAGTCTACCATAAAACTCAAACTTTGCTAATTAAAAGTCGCTTCATTCTACATCTGTTCCTTTACAAGGAAATGACCAAGGTACTATGCACATGACAAAACGCTTTGCACAGTACAATGACAATTTGCTAGTAGGCAATTATCCGTGTATTAAGGCAATCCTTCTAGCTAATACGACCTTTAGCGATTCATACCCCACCAGCAACTCGTGCTGTCCGACCTCTATCTACAAAAAATACAGATTTCGTCGGTTAGGATCGGCCCGACAGGCCCAGAGTCGATACCGCTACGACGATTTGTATAAATAGCTCGGCGATGAATAAATAAGCTAGCTGGCATTGCTGCCTGCTTTTCAGCCATATCCAATTTATTGGAAGCAAAGTACCTATAGCCGCAACAGCACCCCCCCTGACTCCCTGATTCCTAACAAGCGCTACTGAATGCCACAAGCATTTAGACACTTCCTCAACGACGTACATTCTGCCTTGATATAGCCTAGAGCCTGGCTGGCCTAGCACCTCTGTCGGCAAAGCTGCTGGTGTAACTGTCCTCCAGCTTTCCTAACGGTTGTCAGGAACTTGGCTCATAATTAACGATAAGCTCCAACTTGGGCAAGCTCTTTGGCAGGTCAGAGTCACCGACACAGCTAGCCCCTCATTAGCCCAGTGGGGACGTCGACCGATAACTACCCCGACCGAACATCGTTTACGGTCGCACCTAGTTTGGCCATTAAGCTTGCACAGTTCTTTTGTTGGAACTACTGAACGATTCTCCCGAGGGTCCAAGCTTAGGAGGTCACACCGAACAGAGCCAATCCCGATTCAGTAGAATCAACTGTCGTAGTCGATGTTCCACTTGTGAGACATGTCCGTGCCTTCAGCCAAAGCAGTACCAGACCAGCAGGGCCTTACCGGCGCAGGGTTTGGAAGTGTTTCAACTCTGCTTAGGCTTTGTGCTACTTTGACTTCCGCCGCCTCTTTCCGTTTCTTACAAGGGAAAAGGGCCGCTTCCAAGGGTGCCGAGACGATTTGCCATTGTGACGCCATGTCTTGTGCTCCACAAAGTGACAATAGCGTCGGTCTAGGTTGTCTACTAAAGATCCAACCATGAAGGGAAATAAATGGCTTGGTTGAAACTGCCTAACACTGGCGTTAATTGAAGCAGCTATGCTAATGGTTAGTTACATTATACAGTCAAAATCTTTCTACTAAAGTCTTTTTTATATGACGCTCCAGTTTTACGGGTCCATGTATTGGAATCTGAGGCATGTAAGTAAGCCATAAATTTGTCTACTCCGGAAGTACACTTGCATGTCCGACTTCCCGTTATCACCAGCGTTTATTAGCAGCAGTATCACAATGGTTGTTGCATTGAGGATACAATGCCGGCCGCGGTGTCCACGTGTCTAGGAGTCTTATTTGACTTTTTATGAAGTTCGCTTTGCTTAGATCGCCCACTTAGCTCATTATTGCCACTAAAGCTTTTTTTGCCTAATCCTAAATGAGTGCACCTAACGGCCGACGGTGGTTCTTCGCTTTAGCGTCAGTGGACCGTCGTTAAGAAATGCAGTCACTTCCTGTCTCTGTATGTAGCATGGCATCTCCAGCCCAGCGATCCAACAGAGGTCTACCGCAGCTGTACCGGTGCTTCTGTCTCTATGAGATATTTACCACGGTGTCACTGAGAAAGGTCACCAATGAGCATCGGGGCCTATCGCGGTCAGCGGCGTCGCGTTCCAGCAGCAAATCACCGTGTATTATAATTCCGACCGATTGTTCGCCTGCCTAAAGCCAGTTGTTAGCTGTATTATGCTCGCCCACCTTAACTTAGACTTAGCTCAGACTGACTGGGTAACTAGAACGGTAGGAACTACCCCGTTATTCCGGCGTTGCGAGTACAGCAAATCGTGCCTGGCGTTGCCGGTCGAGTGCTTGCAAGCGACAACCGCGACGTTATCTACGTCGTGTGCGTTTGTGTATGTTCGAATGGAATTCGGTCGTGGAGAGCTTCGTTTAAATTCGGCTGGTTTAGTCACGCAGAGGGTTGGCGCTTGGTTAGATCTGAAGGGAAAACGGAGTGAACGTTGGAAGACGACTGGTAGCAATGGGAGTGGAGAAGCTAAAGTGGTGTAAAAGGGGGCTGAACTCTTAGGGCATTGCGACGGCCGTCTGCTACTTGCCAGTGACTAGCGGAAGGAAGGATCATCGGCGCTGAGGAAAAAGCAGACTCATTAAATGATACGGCTCTGCTACTGCTCTTGCTGCTGCTGAGGCTACACGGCAAGGGACTGCTAGGCGCTAGTCAGTATCCGATAAATCTACTTTTCTTATGCTCACCCACGCGCCCGTCCGTCCGCTATTTCCTTCTATGATTATTGAGTCACTACAGTTTTTCTTCTCATTTGTTTTCCTTTTTCATCCGCCTCAGTTCTGTTTTTCTTATCGTCGCTGTTGCTAGCCGATGCCGCTCCCTCCGATTACGTCGATCAACTGTACGTGTCCTGCGGCTCTCCTACAAAGCACAACTAAAGACAATACAAGGACCTCACCGTTGGTGGATTTCCGAGGCTCTTCATGCCAGGAATGGGAGGGCATTTCCATAGCAGGCAGACTTGGCCGCACAATAAACAGGTCGAAACAATATTGCTGTTACAAAGCTGCAATCTCCGAAATGCTTTGGATCTGGCCACGGACATCCTAGTCCAGCGCCAAATAGGAACAAAGAGAAAGAGAGACTCAAGCTATGCAACTGTCTCACCTCTGAGTTGATCACTGCACACTAGTCGTGTGAGGTCGCAAGCTATAACGTTTCAATGGTAACAACGTGAGTGGTGACGATAACGGTCATTATGAGAGGAAACACGTATAGGAGAGCCCGATCAATCTCAAAGCGTGGAGTATTATACAGAACCATGTACGGACAATTGTTATAATGGATTCGAACCTAATCTACATATGTATGTGCGAGTGGACGAACACAACGAAACATCACGCTAGAGTTTGAGATGTGGACGAAAGAGACTTTTTTTTATTTAGTGTTAGCAACAATATCGACTGAGCCTAAGCGTAATAGGATGGCATAAGAGTAGAACAGCGTAACGAGAGGGGCGGGATAGTGCTGCTACTAAAGCTAGTTCTTTTTTCTAATCATTCAAACACTATTGTGATCCTTTCAGGTCAAAGTTTGGGATACGGATTCGTGAACTACGTTCGCGCTGAAGACGCCGAAAAGGCCATCACTACTCTCAACGGACTCAGACTACAAAACAAGACGATCAAGGTAAGTTCGTTTATAACAAGCGGTCGGTCTCGGCCACGTTTGACAACATCCAATACAAATGAGTTCAGAGTAGAAAATTAGCAAATAACAAAAGAACATACATTATTATAATTATACATATCAGACCTCATGTTCCCTATACCCCCCCCCCAAGACGTCATGATTTAATCATTGACTAATTCTATCATAATGGATAGCAGAAAGTAGAAATAGTAGAGAGTAAATATTATGCTTTAATTCAACCACACCTGTAAAATGGGCATTAATGTGTAAATTTTGGAAAGCTGAATACTGGGTTATGTTATTGATTCGCCAAAAGCTCATAAGCTACATAATGGTCCTAGCAAGGACCGTAAACGTAGCAGGCTTCCACTCCCCTACTCGAATGACTGGCACCACAAGAAAGGTCTTCATTTGCAAAGGTCGTGCTGGTATAGGGTAATCCTACTGGCATTGTCAGCTTTATCTTTCTACCCCACCTTGTAGCCTATCTTTACGATAACAAGCTCACGATATTGAATCAGCAATGATGAGGCCAGTGGCTTGCTGAATGTAGTTGGATGATAGCAACGATGTGAGACCTCGCTTCTTCCTGTGTTCCAATTTACCCCTATCTCATATTGCGCCTAGTCTACAAACCGGTTTCGGAATAAACCCACAACCGCCTAGAGGCTGATTGCAACTGCTGCGGCATTGTCCGAGACTCCTGCGGAAGCAGATCCGGCGTAAACACTTTCTATGTAAGCATGTAGCTTAACCACCTTTGACTGGGGGCCCGTCCGCTGATTCTGATTGCTCGAATACTGTTTAGGCCAGACCAACTAAGTCTAATCTGCTGTCTACTCTATGCTGCAGGATGCAGCTAGCCGAACTGGATAATGCAATCGCGCCTTGCAAACGCACTTCGGTGCGATGGGAACTCCCGGAGCTCGTTAGGAACTCGTTCTTTCTCTTTTCATTCTCCATTCTTCTTCATCGCCAGAGAATATCGTCGCCATTGCTTCTGTTGTCGCGCTCTGGATGCTGGGCTTGTTCCTGCGCCAGGCAGGTCTTGTTTGCTTTCGCTAACCATAGTTTGAGGCGGCCTGCCCTTAGAATCGTAAGTTTCGCACGAAAAATAGCGGCGTTCATTGTCTATTGTCAGCAATCACATAATTAGGTCGTCGCAACTTAGACCAAGTGACTGTATATTGCCTCTTACTCTTAAGAAATAAGATGGCTCAGGATGTCGAGGAGTTTGCAAGGTGCCGCGAGACGAAGTAACTGCTTTGTGGAGCGGACAAGTTTGGTGATGATGATGATGATGATGATGATACTAACACCTCATAATTGAAGCGATATGGACCAGGTGAAGGTATCAAAACAAACATATAAAATAGATGCGCCTTTTACTGATCGAACGCATAAGCGGTTTTAAGCCAACGTTAAAGGGTGGAAGTGGGATATGAAACTGCGGACAAGGATCAGATGTGGCCTAGCAGCGGCTGTAAATACAGCATTTGGCTGCAAGCAGAAAGATAGATCAAATTTTAGATACATCGTCCTTACGCTCATATATGTTGAAAACGGACCGTTGGTATGCACACCGCTACCTCTTGTCTTAGTCCAGCTTCAACGTTTGCTCACTACATAGTTAACATATTACCTAATATATAATGTAGTAACTCTACGCCTGTAGAACCTGTTCTGTTTATTCCCTTGTACTTACTCCGGCCCACTTACTTGACTTGGCTAAAGGTTCTCTTCAGTAATAATAGGAATCATCGCTAGGTCTCGAGCTCTCCCACGACCCGCATTACCCATCAGTAATTTTCGGTAGGATCCCAAGCCGTTGGCGCAGAACGTCATAATCGTCATAGTCAAGCAGAGTCCGCCAGGGGAACCAGAGTGCTGACTGAGTGGGATCAGCGAGATAGCAATTACGGCAAGTGCCGACTCACTATCGACAAGAGCCCCCGTCTGAGGTGCCAGAGCATCGTGGCGTGAGACCATTGCTGGAACTGGCTCAGCCAATCTACCGTAGCAGTGATGGCATGCAATCAGCAACCTTCTACGAGGCTGTAGGAGTCTGCTCCTGGTCCCTCGTCCCTGTTTGCCCTTTGATTCCCGACGTTCGTCATCCCGAAGAAGAAACAACACTTCCCTATGTATGACGACATCGACAATGACAGCCCTCACCGTCCGCGTTCAACCAAGCCGCCATGGTTTGTATGATCCGCTTGCTCACATTTCGGTAACGGCAACAATGGCGGTTATCGAGTGAAGTCTTTCCTTCGGGAAGAAGAAAGCAGCACAGTATGTGCATCTTTGCTGATTATGCTCTAACTACTCGCTGGCGTGGTACCCATCGATCCCACGTGTAAGAAACGAGCACAAAATGCACAAGACGAACGTTTATTCCTTTTCGAGCTCAGTTTAGCACAAGAAGATTATGACAGCAATTCTCGTTACTGAGCAACGGTGAACCACTAACCTTAGTTTCCACCCGTGGCAAAGATGATCACCGCAGTTACCTCCGCTAAAAACGTATTCAACCACAGTGCGTCTTTCTGTTCTGGAAGTGAAATGACCTTCTGGAGTACAAATTTTACATCATAATTCGCCAGTGTGCCCAACGGACTGTATATTGTCTAAAAGATAGCATTGGTTCTTATCGGAAATATCAAATATGCAACTTTCTTTAGTAGACTATCAGTTAAAATTGATGTATTACATCCTTTCTTTTGAAGCAGATCCATATATTCGTGGTCTCCTAGCAGAAGAATTCTTAAAAACTAAGGCCTGCAAAGCCGTACTATCGATGATAACTAAGAGCTGTTAGTAAACGGTTCCATCAGAACGAGAAAGGTAACTAGCGGACCAGGTCCGGCCCCTTTCTTCCACACGAGAACACGTACCATATTCCGCCAGCAGGCTCGGCGAATGAAGTTATATAAAGCGAACGACACAGGTAGGACATAGCGCATAGGCCAGCATGCTCCCCTTCCAATAAGCACGGCTAGTTTGGCACAGAAACTACGAAGGAACATGAGCCTGCGCGACCTGGCGGTAAGGCCTCAGGCAAACACCTAAAGATAAACACAAAAGTTGACAGAGCGGCACAGGAACCAAGGGCTAAACGATAAGGTGCTGCGTCTCTGCCTGCCATCTCGCTGCTTAGCTCTGTTTCTTTGGCTTTTGGCTACCCTTCACCTAAATGGTCCCATCGACGAAAAATCGCAAACCGGTGAATCTTTCTGGTTATGTCCCATTAAATTATCTCTCCTGCTTCTTCTGCATTTTGCTCTCTGTCGTTTTTATTTCTGTCATAATTTCGTTTCAGTGCTGATTACCTACGATATTTATACCATGAAGAGTAGCAGCTTCAACGAAAGCGACGATGAGGACCACCAATTGTATTTGTATATATAATAATATTATAATCATCTTTCTAGCACAGGTCGGATGTTATACATCTGCGGGCACACGGGCTCATTAAGTGGAGCTAAACGTATAGGTCACTGGCGTAAAGCGGCGGCGGCGGGCTGGATGGATGACCATTGATTGTTTCTATTTGTTTTTTTTTTTTTTTTTTTCGAAATTAATGTAGAACGGTACTTGGCTGCTAGGGTAGTCGCTACCCTTTCTGCGATCATATCTGTAGTAGTCACAAGTGGTAACTGGCAAAGCAGAAGGAAATAGTTTTGCTAGGCAATAGTTCGCGTTAGCCGGCTCCAGTGGCGACGACACATGGCGATTAGCTGTACCAACTTCTCGTTGCGAAAGACGGCCAAAGGCATCGTGGTGCTACACCGAGAATGTTGTCGCAAGAAAACGTACGAAGGCCAAATGTTCATATGTAGTCTCTATCTTTTACATGTTTCATATTATAATGAATTCAACTGCGTTGCCGTTTCGATCAGGGAAACACAATTGCCTGTTTAGCAGCCATATTCCAGCCCATATGTGGATTCCTACTCACGCAACGATAGGAGATGAGGTATAACTTCAGTTTGAAGCCACCATGAGAATGCACCCAGCTGCGGGACGCTCTGCATAGCCCTCGCTTCTGTCTATGTGTAGTTAAAGCATATATTTGAATCGAGCACCGAATGGGATCTAATTGCTGAGAATGCTCTGAATGTTTAAACTGTACTGGACGCCTGGCCGAACGCTAGAAAACACGTGAACTAAAGAAAAGGCCAGTCTGAAGAGACGGTATAGAGAGTACTGCTGCAATTGCTTGCCAGTTTACCCCTCGGAGTTCTCCACGTTGTCGCGACTGACCCGTTTATTAACTAGTAGCAGCGACTGTTCGTCCGAAATCCCGTCGTTCGTATAGTGCGGCTAGCAGAAATAGCTAATAGAACGGCCGCTTCATCAGATCCCTTTGTTAGATCTCGACGGCTGAGGCTAGGCGACATCAATCTGCGTACTTCTATTATTTGCCGCTCTCCCACCTATTCGCCCTGTCCGCTTACTCCTCAGCACCCAATCGATTTGCCCAATCAGCCTGCTGAGTCCTTTATGCTTGTCTGAGGTTCCGTTTCCGATCAAGAGGGCTTTTAGAGCTATTTCTACGCTCACTTTTAGCCTGGCAGCTTGAGCGGCGACTGCTGCTACTGTCTGACATCTAACGATGAATGCAGATACACTTGGATTGAACCCCAAAGCAACAGATTATGTTGCCATGGCTGTGTGAACCTACCTAGCATTGTGAACTACTGCTTTTTTGCCCAGGCTCTTTCCAGCTACACATGAGATGAACTTCAATGCTTCTTTTGTGGCAAATAGCCGAGGGTAATAAACAAGGGGCTAAATACGAAAAGACAAAAGAAAGAGATGAGACAGTTTAAATATAGATACTAGATTAGTGTTTCTCTCTTACTGTTTAATCCGCGTCGTCCTTAGCTCTCGTGTTAGCATTACTGTGCTCGGTGTATTTGGACGCCGTTAAATTAAAGCGTCGCCTCCGCTATTCGTGACTAACCAATTTTCAGTCAATGTGTACTTTGTATATA